TTGAAGACAGATAAAATTTACTTAATATAATAATTATCTTTCATTTTCATGAACAATAACTTTAACAATTATTTGTTAAATTAGAATACTTAACAATAATACCTAAATCCATAGTCATTTGAAACATAAAATGGAAAACCTTAGATAATGAATTAATTTGAATGTTTATAATTTACTATTTTCTTAGATCAAGGAGAATTTTAGAATACTATAATAAGAGCTGAATTTATTCAGAATATGTATAGTTTTTTAACAATCGAATTCTTTTTAAATTTGGGAATGATTTCTTTAGGACTTTACACAAGAATGGACCTTTGGCTTGTGCATTGGAAATATGAATGTTCGGAATATTTAAAGGATTGTCTTACACCATCTTGGTTATTCTATGTTTCTTTAATTATTTCATTAATATTGTAATTCACACTATATTTTGGAGGAAACATTGCTAGAAAAGTATTAGTTTTAGATATAATCATAGGCTCCTATAAATTACATAGTTTTAATATTATACTTAGTTTTCTTTGGATTTACATTTACAACTATATGCATTTTTATGGAATTAAGTCTGAGACAAATGGGTGTTTGGGTAACTTGGGGAATTACTTTTTTAATAATAGCTTCATTTATGATAATAGGTTTTGTAAACAAAAAAGAGGTTTCTTTGAAAAGTACAATTCATTCCATATTTTATAGTGGGGGCTATTATAATTTTTGGTATATCCATACCTTTCACATTATTTTTGATATTCTTTACTTTTAATCATATATGGGAGAAATGTGTATATGGATTAATCATAATCATATATGGATGCTATTTGATGTTAGAAACAAGATTAATTATGAGCAAAGGAGTAAGAATTTATTAATATATAAAAGAGATTAAATTTATAATCTAATGATTATTTAATTGGATCTTTATTACTATATGGTCTAATGTTGTAACCTTTAGTAAGAATATTTGATATTTTATTAAAAATTTTTGGAAGGAGCAGTTAATGAGAAATATCATCAATAAATTTATATCATGATAATAAAATCATATTAATAATCTATAATTATAATAAATTAAGATTTATGTTGAGTAAATTTGTTTACTTACAATATATATATATTTTGTATCTCAAAATTTAGTATTTAGGAAAAAGAGAAATTTTTAATTATTTAATTACAAATAAATATAATTCTCAAAATTAAAAAAATGAGTTTCTATTATATTTATTTATTAATTTTCAAAATGGCTAATGAAGTTCATTCCTATTTGCATTTTATTCTCATCCTTAACTACCTATTAATTCATCAAGAATTTAACAAATATTCACTGATTTTTTTTAGATTTTTCTTTCCTAAAATCAAATTAATTTAGGTAGAGAATAAGTTATTACTAATTTGAAGCTACTTTATTAATTATAAAGCAATAGAAATATATTAAAATTTATTTAGATGAATCCAGACTGATAAAAAAAATAAGTTGGCCTTACTTCACAACAATGCCACTAAAAGATTGAGGTTAACTAAAATAATAATTTGTGAAAACTAATATTGAAGTCGTATTAAATGAAGATGATAATAGCAAATACTCATCATAAGAAACATTTTTAAAGAAAGTAAATAAGTTTTTATATTATTTTATTAAAAGGGAAATTCTAATAGATAATTCAATGGATCATTAGGATTTGAAAAATATACAGAATAAATCTAAAATTCTTATTGGTATGGAGAATATTAAATAATTTGAGAAAATTTGGTAAGTGATTAACCAGTGGGTATGGATATATTGTTTTAGAAGATGGTGGATAATACTATGATAATGGATTAAAAGAAGGTGTATGGAAAGAGACAATTTAAAATTAAAGAAGGTAACATAAAAAAAAAAGAATTTTCAATAGTTATGTATAATTATATGAGAATGGATCATATGATAGAGGAGGAAATGGGACTAAAACTGGTAGATAGATTGAAATGAGTGAGGAGTTTATATAGAATTCCTAAATAATTAATTATGGGGATTATTAAAGGATTTTAAAGTTGGTGAATGGGTAAAATGAATGTTAATGAGATTGAAAACCTGTTGAACGAATTATTAAATTTGAAATTATTTTAATATAATATTACATAGCCCATTCTATAAATTAGGCTATAATAGGTGCAAGATTTTTAATGCAATCAACCTCCATCACAAAGATACTAAATTTTTTATTACAATTTCTCAATATTGAATAAGTCCACATCTAAATATATCCATTTCTCTATTTTCTCTTGATAATTAATCTTATTGTTTTAATAAGTAAATGAGATAGCTTTGTTATACTTAGAGATATTAGTAATCTCTTTAGAAAATTTAGTCAAATCTAGCACTTAGTATATCCATCCACATCTTTTTCTTCAAATCTTACCTTATCCCTATTCAAGGTATTACAATTTTTCACACTCTTTCTTAGTATTCTTCTTCAATCAGTACTCCTTACATATCATTCTGTTTATCAATATATAATTTAATAATTTCCTTGCTGTTATTCTCAACTCACATTTTATTTTGTATAATGATACCTTTTTAGAGTGGGTATTCTATTGAATCTCAAAGTAAAATTTATTTGTAAAGGTTTATGATCAGATTTTTTTGGATGAAATCTGATTTCCCTAGTTCCATTTATAATTGGTCTATTTCAACATTTTTCTAATCTTTTAGGTATAAACCTTATATATTGTTTTGTTAAAATAGAATCTTCAAGCAAATTTGTATTAACTTAAAAATAAATACAAATTTAATCGCTTTAGTAGAATGATATTTATTATTATTATTTATAAATAGTTCTAGTTATACTTTCGTAAGCAAAGTTTTTAATAAATTAAAATTTACATAATATCATTCTGAGTAGAAGAATATTTAAAGGAGTACAATTTTCCATAATATGTGTTTGATTAAAAATATCATGTTCTTTAGAATATTATTATTCATATATTGATTTTCTTAAATGATTAAGGAATAATGTAAAGGGTAATTAAATAAAACTTCAATTTTATTGTTTATTTAAAATTAACTGATGTTTATAACTGGTTAAATTTCCTTGATTGGTTTGGGTGCCATTCCAATTCAATCATTTTCTTAATTTTTTTGGCAATAGAATTCATCTTGTTGGTTATGCCTTTTTGAATCTTTTTGTAAAATATCCCAGTGATTTCTTCGACATATTGTATGAATTTATCAAAATCCTCTTCACAGTTCTTGGTAGAAAGTAATAAGTGATCCTTAATATGCTCTGATTTTCAGGAAATTAGCTCTCATAATGATTTTCTCTGGATTCTTTTCCTTATACTCTAATAAGATCGAAGAGAGATTTTGCATGATCAATAGCAAAATTATACATTTACTCACCATATCATTTATAAAGGTAATTGTGGTGAATTAAAAGTGGTATACCATAATTTTGTTATCTACGAAATTACTCCAATTATCCATGTTTCTTTGAATATTTGTAAAAACGAATTCTTTAGAGATATCAAGAAAAAATTTTAATGTTTTTTATGAATCAAATGATTTTGCATAACTTAAATTTCAAATATAATTATAGGGAGTTTTAAAATACCTAGATTTTGCAATAAACTCAAAATAGCTGCCTACAAAATTTTGATGAAAATATATTGCTGTTTTCAGAAAAATAAAATATAATTTTTCATAATGTGGTGAACTTATTGATTATTTATAATTAAAAAAGTAATAGAAAATAAATTAATTAATAATATTTGGAATGGACGCTAATGACTATTTTAAACAAGGTATATCATCTAGCATTATAAATAGGAGTTATATTTAAACAACAAGGAGAAAAAGAAAAAGCTTTACAAAACTACAATATGGCCATCAGATTAAATCCAAATTTTGCTGATGTATATTACAACCGCGGTATATCATCTAATAATTTAAGTAGGAGTTCTATTCGATCAACAAGGAGAAAAAGAAAAAGCTCTCCAAGACTACAACATAGCTATCAAACTGAATCTAAATTATGCTGATGTTTATAATAACAGAGGTACATAATTTAGTTATAAAATTAGGAATTCTATTAAAACAAAAAGGAGAAAAAGAAAAGGCGCTTTAAGATTACAACAAAGCCATCTAATTGAATCCTAATGATGCTGATGTGTATTATAATCGTGGTAGATCATCTATTAATATAATTAGGAGTTCTATTGAACGAACAAGGAGAAAAATAGAAAGCACTTCAAGACTATAACATGGCCATCCAATTGAATCCAAATTATGGCACTGCATATTATAACAGAGGTTACATGATCTAATAAGATAATTAGGAATTCTATTTAAAGGACAAGGAGAAGATAATAAAGCGCTTTAAGATTACAACACAGCCATCAAATTAAATCCTAATGATGCTGATATTTATAATAACAGAGGCAAATAATCTATTAATATTATTAGGAGTTCTATTAGATTAAAAAGGAGAGAAAAAAAAAGCGCTTCAAGACTACAATCAAGCCATTAAATTGAATCCAAATTATGCTAATGCTTATTATAACAGAGGTATATCATTTAGTATGATAATTAGGAATTCTATTCAAACAATAAGGAGAAAAAGAAAGAGCACTTCTAGACTACAACATGGCCATCAAATTAAATCCAAATTATGCTCCTTTATATTATAATCGAGGTATGCAATCTCAAATAATACAATTAGGAATTCTATTTGAAGAACAGGAAGAAAAATAAAAAGCTCTCCAAGACTACAACATGGCAATCAAATTGAATCCATTTGATGCTGATTTTTATAATAATAGAGGTAAATCATTTTGTAATACAATTAGGAATTCTATTTAAAGGACAAGAAGAATATTAATTAGCTCTCCAGGACTACAACACAGCCATCTAATTGAAATCAAATTATGCTGATTTTTATAATAATAGAGGTAAATCATCTAGTAATATCATTAGGAGTTCTATACAACGGACTAGGAGATAAACAGAAAGCACTTCAAGATTACAACATGGCCATAAAATTAAATCCAAATTATGCTCCAGCTTATTATAACCGAGGTTATCATCTAGTTATATACTTAGGAATTCTATTTGAAGAACAAGGAGAAAAAGAAAAAGCACTTCAAGAATTCAATAAAGCTCTCATTTTATAACCAGATGATCCACTTTATCTTACCAACTTAGGAAGTTACCATTTAAAAAAATAATAATTTAATGAAGCAAATGGTTTTTTTACATAAGCAAAAAAATCATTAGACTCTATTAATAATCAATAAATATAGAAGTGGAATTTATCTAATACAAACCTTTAATATATTAGGGAATAACTTAATCTGCTAAAAGAAACTTAACTTTAGATATAAACAACAAATCATTAAATTGAATATTTATCTAAAGGTTTACCAAAATAGAAAACTAATTAATTAAAGGAATAAGCCTAGATAATTGTAAATTTGGTAATTTTAGAAATCAAACCAATAAACATTTATATTAATCAAAATTTACAAAAAAATTAATTTTATATTAATAAACAACTTTATGAGTAAAAATTTAATGATCTTTAAAATCAAATAATTAGGCTTAGTAATGAAAATTCTGATATGAAAATGTAAATCAATTCAATTTTAGAAAAAGACTATTTTTAAGTTTCTGAAGCTCTAAAACAATTAAATAAAAAAGAAAATATCAACTAATTTATGTATTGTAATGCTTTAGTTTGGAGATTGTATAATTACTTATTTTCAATGTAATAGATCTCCTCGAATCTATTTTCAATTAATAAAAATGCAATTAATGAAAGTAATGAATAATTATGTGAATAAATTTTTTAAAAGGTAGTAAATGCAGGATTATCAACCTTAGGAGCATTACCTGTATGTGGAAATGCTTTCAACTTAATTAATACTGCTCTAAATTATGGGTTTGATTATAGAAAAGAAAAAAGATTTACTGAAAGATTAAAGAAACTAAATAATATTTTAAAATGCAGTTCTATGCTTCCTGGTTAATTAAAAATAGAGATATAAATTGCAA